AGTGGGAGTGATCATTTAGAAAAAGATCATTAAGATACTCCACTAAAGTTTATGGAATTAAATGGCTTCATACATCCTAAATTTGATCGTATGTCAAACAATAAGTCTAAAATATTCCACAAGTATTAATCTTGTATTTGTTCATATAAATTCATAAGTTCAAATTATTGAACGTTTGGTTGTGCAACATATTTATGAAAATGTTGTAACAATATCAAGGAATTTATTAGAACAAAAACATTTAATTTGTGGTGTACTGTCATTTAATAAATTCTTCAGTGATTAATACAGTCTTTAGTTTCTTCAAAATTGATCCTGGGCCATTTTGGTTTGTAAGGCTCAAAACAATTTTGTGAGACATATAAGTAAGACTCATTATGTTTAGTTCATTTAAAGTGAACATTGTAGTTATTTGGGAAGTTATGGTGTATGATTAAGATTCCAAATTCATGGACTTAGACCTTTGGTTTATTGTCTAAGTTATTGGAATGCTTCTGTGACTTGACTATCTTTTGGCTATTTTTGATGAGTGGGAGTGACAGACGTGTCAACTCCAAGCTCTTAGCTGTTAGAGATAGTACTTAAAGTTAACTTATAAAGAAGTCATGGAATATAGTTAGCATTATGCTAACATGAAGAGATCTCTACTTAAGGCATGCTTATAAAGTTTTAGAGATCATACAGTGTACTCTTTTGTACAATTTGGATGTGTTTTCTCCTTCAGTTGTGCACATAATGTATTTTGAGAAACATCCCTTAAGGTACCGAGAATAAACATAGGGTTTGTTCATAAAGGACCTAATTTGGAGAATTAAAATGCATGTGACCATAATGGATACTACTCTGATTAAATAGAGGACGTATCACTATGATTCGTGTGTTTTGTTCTTTGATGATGGTTGTGCTAATACTTGCACCAAGTGGGAGAATGTAAGATTTTCCCTAATAATATATATTATATATTATATATTAGGGCCTTAATTAAGTGGTGCAAGTTGACTAGGCTTATTAAGTGGTCTGGTTGGACTTAATAACTAGTAGTTGTTAGTCAACCAAACTCTGTGCCTAATATAAACCTGGATTGATGGGATACAGGTTTACAGATTAGATAGCACATTCAGTTACGGTACTCAGACCGCTCAGTAGATACCAATACGCCATCTAGGGTTCTGAGTTAGGTCTGAGACAAAACATGGCTAACGGTCTACCGTTAAGAGGCAACACAACAGGAACATCAACTATGACTGACGAACCAGCGGCTATGGGTGCGTTTTCCGGCGACTCCTACCGGCGACGAGAGAGAACGACGACTGCAGATTTTTTTTTTTTTTTTTTTTAAAAAGTTCTGTTTTTTCCATCTCGCCGGCGTTAAGGAGATCTCCGGTGCGTTCCGCTTTCAGAACATGCGGTTGTTTGCAGCTGCGACTCGGAGATGACAGCGACGGTGCTAGCGTTGCGACCTGGAGCGACGACGCTGGGTTTCCCGTCGACGTCCTGCTTCCTCCTTCTTCAGGCGACGCTGGTTACGGATTGTTGCTGTTCTCCCTCGTAGTTCCGGACAGCTGCTAGGGCTGATTAACATGAAGAAGATGATGATGGGTCATGAGGGTTGGGCCGGGTCAGACCCATTGGGCAGACCTGGTCCAACACTAAAAAAAAAAAAAAATCTTCTTGGGCCTGATTTTGGTTTTGGGCTAGATTTAGTTGATCCATCATCATATTTAGACTTCTTCTACCTTAATTGTTCAATTTAATTCTTCCTTAATTAATTATTAAATTATTATTCAATTTGGAGCAAATATTAAGTTTTAATTATTCAACAGTTTGAAGCAACAATTTGTTCCAAGCTACTGAAAATACAAACATTTCAATTTACAATATTTTCACTTAGCATTTTTTGTAAGATTTTCCGTAATAATATATATTATATATTATATATTAGGGCCTTAATTAAGTGGTGCAAGTTGATTAGGCTTATTAAGTGGTCTGGTTGGTCTTAATAACTAGTAGTTGTTAGTCAACCAAACTCTGTGCCTAATATAAACCTGGATTGATGGGATACAGGTTTACGGATTAGATAGCACATTCAGTTACGGTACTCAGACCGCTCAGTAGATACCAATACGCCATCTAGGGTTCTGAGTCAGGTCTGAGACAAAACATGGCTAACGGTCTACCGTTAAGAGGCAACACAACAGGAACATCAACTATGACTGGAGATCAACACGGCTACGCTTCCGCTATCATACGAGGTTAGGTTTCTCGTATACTATGGTTCATATAGTTAGACTATTGTATATCTAACATTTTTGACAATAATTTCTCCAAAACACATCTATAATTAAAAAATAAAAAAGTGTATTGTAGAGTTATTTTGACTCCTTGAATAACAAAAACCAGTTTCGTTGGCGCACTGTTTGCCCATCAACGAATGGGCAAGTTTAATTTTTAAATTGGAGCCTTAAGGCTCCTTTTATGGGAGCCTCAAAGCTCTCATGCCACTTTTTCCACTGATGTGGTAAAAGTGGCAAAACTAAGGGGAACCAAACGTTCGGCTCCCCATATGTTTTATTTTTATTTTTTATTATTTTCTTTAATTTTATTTCTTTTATTAATTTTTTTTTAGTTTTAAAACAATTATTATTATTATTATTATTATTATTATTATTATTATTATTATTATTATTATTATTATTATTATGTCACTTTACATGTTAATCTAAACAGCTAAGTATATATATATATATATATATATATATATATATATATATATATATATATATATATATATATATATATATATATACCATTATTGTGTGGAATATGGTCCACACAGCTGTGTGGACCATATTTTCAAATAATGTACATTCAGTAAACAAAAAATGTATTTTTAACATATTAAAATGTATATTACATTCAAGAAAAATACATTATTTAAGTACTGAAATTACATTATTTTGTATAATATACATTCAATAAACGAATAATGTACTTTTAATATATTAAAAATATACTTTTAGTACTGTGTGGACATTATTAGTGCTTAGCTTGAGCATCACAATTGCTTATTGCAAAAGGCATTCAAAATTCTCGGTTTAGAAATCCAAAAAACTTGTAAAGGTCATTTTTTTTTTTGAGTATTTAATTATTCAAAGGAAATAAAAATTACAAACAATATCTGATTAAATGGAACATTTTTAAAATTCATCTCAGGCTTTAGAACAAACCAATCTTTTTGTTGCTATCTTCACGAAAATAAAAACCAAAATTGGATAATAATTTGATTTACTTTGAGCATGTTTAGTAAATAATGAATCCACCATTTTAACGTTTTGACCAGGGATCAAAACGCTGAAAATGTTATTTGGTTAAATGGCGGTTTGGAGCAGTAGTTTACTCCAAACCGTCAATTTTGCTAACACTGCATTTTGCAACGTTTGCAAATGGCATTTTGGAGAAAGACTTTCTTTTTCCAAAATGCCCTTAACATATTTTTAAAAAACAAAAATTAACTTAAGGGAGCTTAAAAGGCTCCTTAACTAACGGATGGGCATAGCTGTGAGAAGGGGGGGAAATGGAGCCTTGAAGCTCCTTTCCGTTCCCGACTTCTCCCATCGACATGGGATAAGTGGGGAAACAAAAGGGGAGCCATTGTTCTTTTTTCTTTTTTTTTTTTTTTTAATTTTTATTATTATTATTATTATTATTATTATTATTATACCATTTAGGTCATTTTATATGTTAACAGCAAATTTTACCAAATATTTTTTTATAAACCGCTAACATAATTCGCTAGTCAAATCCGCTAACACAATTGGCTATTTATTAATCACTAACTGCTGATTGCCAAACAAAGTCTTTGTATTCTACTAATGGTGTATTTGGAAATTCAAAAAATGACTTCTGGAAGTTATTTTTTAAATTTTCAATGTTTAGGTACTCAAAGAAAATAATCATTCTAGTCAACAAAAAATATTCAATTTGGCAAAAAATGTCTTCCTAATTTTTAAATCGGGAGACATTTTCCGAATTCTTTATTTTCCATTTCTCTCTTCACCTTATTCTTTTTTAAGTTAGTTCCTGGATTACTATTATTACCACCACTACCAGTCTACCACCACACCACCATACCATCACACCACCACACCACCATCATCACCACATATTATTATTATTATTATTATTATTATTATTATTATTATTATTATTATTATTATAACAAATAATAAGTTCATTTTCAAAAAAATGAACAAAACATAAAAAATGCAATTTTTAACTTTCAACTAAACAGAAAAACATATTTTGACATTCAACTAAACACTAAAAAATTAAAATATTTTTTTTTCAAAAAATGAGTCATTTTCTAAAAATTATTTTGTAATTTTTTTTAAGTTTCTAGATGGACTCTAATTTTATTTTTGTTTTACTTAAAAAAAAATTATATATTGTATAGATGGAGAATTAATAGTTTTTAAGAACTAAGTTTTTAATAACTTCCTATTCAATTAACAAAAGTGAACCCAAAAAGAATTTCTAACTTCCCATAAAACAGAAAAGACAAATTTTTATTTTTAGTCAAACACCAAAAAGTAAAAATTCTTTTCAAAATTGAGTCATTAAAAAAAAAACATTTTTGGGGTTTCTAACCAAACCCTAAAAGAAAATTACAGGTGAAAAGACCCAATAATTAAGTAAAATCATATCTAATCTTCATTATAATCATAAACAGATAACCCATGTCCAGAATAACTGAGCCTGTATGCAATTTGGCAAATACAATGAGAATAGCTAACAAGGGCCTAGAGAGAATTTGGTAAGAAACCCCATACACAATTCTATATATATATTTTCTACTTTTCTCCAGCCAATTAAACCAAATGCAGATACTACATTGTAATAGAGCCAGTAGCATTCAAAAAAAAAAAAAAAAAAAAAAAAAAAAAAAAAACCAAATGCAGATGGTTTAAATTTGCAGGAAAGTAACCCTAGTCTCCAATGAATGTAACAACCGAGACCGACGATGGAGTTGGACAGCAACATCATCGATCATTCCTTGGAAGACTTGTTGATGAGCGACTTGTGGATGTGCGGGATCACTCCCCCTCCAGCTATCGTTCCTTTGATCAGGGTATCTAGTTCTTCATCACCTCGAATCGCAAGCTGCAAATGTCTTGGACTGATACGCTTCACCTTCAGGTCCTTGCTCGCGTTCCCAGCCAGCTCCAACACTTCAGCAGTCAGATACTCCAAAATAGCTGCAGAGTATACGGCTGCCGTTGCACCCACCCTTCCGGTTGATGTTGTCCGCTCTTTCAGCAACCGATGAATACGTCCAACCGGGAACTTAGAACATCACAAACATTGCACAATCAGAACAAAACATTACATCATGTGATACATACTGTTAAGAGTCCCACATTGAAAATATAAGAGAAAAAATATGGGTTTATCAGACCGTTTAGACTAGCTAATTAATTGGATTCAGTCATTTAGTATGGTTTGGCCCATGTGCATTATATTATATCCCAAATCTTAGAAGTTCTGTAATGTAGCCGTGCATAATCTTAGTATATAGTAAGAAAGAAGGTTCGTCCCATTTGATAAATCAAAATTTACTAGCATTAGCCCAAATTCCATTCGGAAGAGAGATAGCTCGGGGAATTTAATCATTCTCTGAGGTATTTCAAAGCTACATTCTTCATATCAAATCAAAACATAAATAAGTTGTAGTCAGTAGATTGTTGTCTCGGGGAATTGACAGCTTCCTAGTGGAATATGTATTCACTGGCAGGGGAAGAACTTCTTAGAAGTTCAACAACTTGGTTGATTTTTGTTTTTGGATTTCATTTCTTGACTTTGAAAATAATGAAATAAAAATGAAGCTGATAGATCATGGGCCATGTTAGACAGGCAGCAGTTTTTATTGAGTCAATCCATGGACCTAGCTCACCTTAATACTTTTCAAAGGAAAAAGCTCTCACCAAAAGTAAGACCCGTGAAGAAATATGAAAGATATCACTTCTCAGGGCAGGGAAAAGATAAAACGATGCATTCAAATGAAGTAAGAATACTATATGTGAAAATAAGAAAGAAGCAGATATGTGAGAATTCTTTGAGTACTGCCTCCAAGTCAAAATAATATGTATACTAATATTTCTTTGAAGATGTTTTGCTTTTAAAGAAGCCTTGCTTTACAAAACTTAATACTCTATCTATCAACAATTTACATATGCCCTGTTTGGTAACATAGTTAGTTTATTAGCCAATTTTGGCTTGTTTAAACACTATTAGCTATTTGAATTGGTTAAACAGCCAATATGAGTGTTTGGCTAATCAGCTTATTGCTCCAAAATGCTAAAGTTCAAAAAGCTGCTCAAAGCAGCTTTTTCAAATTATATCTTAAAGGTCATTTTGCATGTAATCTGCTATAAGCTAACGGCTAATTTATTAAACATCTTTCTACAATCATCTAATGCTATCAACTAGTCAAACTAACTAACGCTAAAAGCTATATAAGCTAACAACTATTTGCCAAACAGCCTAATGTCCTCTAATCCGCAAAACAAGTATTCAATATGGTATTCACATCTTACAGCACTCTGCCATTTCCCTTAATAGATAACACCTTAAGGCTTTGAGTCAGTTTTAACTTTGCTAGTTAGAAGCCTAGACATTCTAATTTCCTATTCATGTCCTCGACAAAGCCACAAAGCCCACATCTAACCACAGCTCTGTTGTGAGCTATGGATCCTTCACATTCGAAACCCCATGCAACACTCTCTACAAAGAATTAATGGTCTTGACAAAACCACAACCCCCTAATTACTCTTGGAAGCAGCTAATAATCAATTTTGCTTTTATTTTTGAATAAGTAGCAATATCCAATATCCCATATCAAACAGACCTTTATGATAGTGCATGCCCAGAAATGCTCACTTGCATTAGCCTAACAACCATTACAGAACTCAAAACTACCGCTTCAAAAGGGCAAAGCTCACGTCATAAAACTAAAACCAACAGGGGCTCATCAAAATACCAACTTTAAGCTAAAACGTTAAAGACCCAACAGTTTTAAACCGCCAAATTGTTCCAGAAAACAAAACAAAATTACACATTTAAGCTGATAGATATATTGTACAGGAACAAATGGATTTCAGCTAATCCCAAATTGAAGCTGTAGAATTTAAAGAATCAACAGACAGAAGTCACGTTTTCCACGAGAAAAAAAAAAACAATGATATGGATGAGATATAATAATTACCTGGAGACCGGCACGAGAGGAGCGAGAGATGGGTTTCTTCTTATCCTTATCCTTGTCTTTGTTGGGCGCAGCGGCGGATGTTTTGCCCGTAATCAGACCCTTGGCGCCTTTTCCCGACATTTTTCCCCGGAAATTGCTCGGATTGGAGAGATGGAAATGGCGAGAACAGGGAGGTGTTGATTGGATAGAGGCTCACTTAAATAGCAGTGCAAGACTCGAAGAGCCGAAGATCGACGCAGGAAAGAAAATAATGTCATAGAGACTTGTCGCATGGAAAATATGAGAGAGATTACTCAGAAGGCATAAGGACAATAATACACTTTTCTTTACTTGGAATTAGGGGTGTTAACAAATTAAATAAATAAAATTTGATTCGTGATTTGAATTCGAATATTTCGAATACGAATCTTTTTTCGATTTTTGAATCTTTTTGAATACGAAACGAATTAGAGTGTATTCGATTTGAATAGTATTCGAATATATATATATATATATATATATATATATATATATATTCTATTTAAATATAAATTTTATTACATTTTATCTTAATTTATTGAAGAATTTTGTAAACAAAATAAGTTAGACATTTAGAGTTCGAATATTCGAGTCGAATCGAATATATTCGAATAAACTGGTCAAATCATATACGAATCAAATTTGAAATTCGAATCTTAAACGAATACAAATATGGATTTCGAATATATAATCGAATTCGAATCGAATAGTAAGATATTTAACTCGATTCGATTTGTTTACACCCCTACTTGGAATTACTCGTTTAAAAATGTAAGGAAAAAGTGTCAAATTGGCCCCCTAAGTCGAGTGGATAGTGCAATTGGGTCCCCTAAGTAAAAAAAGCTCAATTCAGGTCCCCTAAAACTGTAAAATTGTTCAATTAAATCCAAGCTGACTTGTTTATCATGTTAAATGCATACGGTATTGACACATGTCCTTATTTTATTTTTTAATTAAAAATATTATTTATTATAAATTAATTAAAATAATAATAATAATAATAATAATAATAATAATAATAATAATAATAATAATAATAATAATAATAATAATAATTATAATAATAATAATAATTCAACGGGTCATAGAAGTGAAGTTTGGAAAGTATATATGACTAGGGATCGAGTCTCACCAGCGACAGTGTGGGAGCAGCCCCTCAAAGTGAGGGGGCTCCTTTGTGCGCAGTAAGCAAAGGTCTAGCCTCTGTAGTTCATGTTCAATTGAGTTACCACGATTTACATCTTTCCAGATGCTCTGTCGAGACAGGGTGTGGGGACCCTTATGGTTGGGGTTCAACTTTTTGAAAAAAAATTTTGTATTACCCATGTGTGTATTAGGCGGCTAATTAAAAGCCATTTTAAATTCCGATTAATAAATCATTGAGAACCCAAATATTGGAGTAAATCTGGAATATATAATTGTTGCAGTCTTTAATTACAAATCTGAAGTAATTTAAATCTAATTAAACACAACCTTTATGAAAAGTCTTTTTGGATTACAAAACTATCGATGCAATGGCTTTTCATTGTTCCAACGCATATTTGGCCTTTTCGTTGTTCTATAACATGCCACCTCTATATAAAGCACTCGAATCATGCAAATTTACTGCCAAATTATTGAGAATGAATTCTTAAACACATGCCAATAGAAGAAGTAAAATTATGTACAAAAAAAAAAATGTCTTCTCAATATGTTCCTGTCAAACAAATCAGTCCATTACACATGCACTAAGAGAGCAATTAGGGTTAAATTAGGTAGAACATATGAAGTTCCAAAAGTTAGAGGATGAGAAACAAGTACTTCGTCACCATCTCAATTTATATGTCTGGTTCAGTTAACGAGGCTTGACTGAATTTGTTTTAAATTTAATTTTTCATAATATTAAGTTTAATATTAGTATACAAAATTTCTATATTTAGGCACTAAAAGTATTATTAAACACAAAAAATTAAATTTAAAAATAAGTAAAAAAATATTAAAGAAAATAAACAAAGAAAAACGAGTTAGTTTGACCAATGAATAGTAAGTATGACAGATAAAATGAGACAGACGGAATAAAAGTAAAGAATTTCTTTTTCACGATGATGAGGTAAATTGATTTTTATATATTTTTTCTGTGAAGTATGATCTATTTGATAAATGTTTGTTGTCATGTGATTTTTTTTTCATATACGACCAGGGAACATATATCCATGCAAATATTTAAAAGGAGGAAGTGGAGAAATACCGAAATGTATTTCAAGAGGGCCAGGTCTATTCAATAAAGAAATCTTAGTGGTGACCAGCTATTACTAGTATAAAACAAATGGACATCGTTATCTTATTAAAAGTTCAACTACAAAACAATGGTCAAAGATAGTAAATATAAAGTGTTCCCTAGTTTTATGTTTCGTCTAAAGAATTTTGTATCTCTGAAAAATCCTTTCGAAGTGAAAGATACAGAGCTATTTGGTAACAAACTTATTTTGTGGAATCATAATAATATTTGTTTTTGCCTAAATGTGTTTAAATATATATTTTGTATACATCAAATCGGAAATGTAAATATAAATCAAATGTCCAAATACATATGACACCGGGGCATACCCCTGAAAACAAAAACACAAATACGAACTAGACACAAGAAAATCAACATCGGCTAACACATTAGACTAAGCCTAACTAGTACGTCATGATGTCTCATACACGCATTCCATGAACGACAAAATCCAAAGCAAAGCACTAAATAAGGAAAACCTATGCATGCAAACTTGAACCCTAGCCAAACACCCCAATGCACGCTCATTCTACCAATGCACCGCACTCAACCTTTAGAATTATAGCTCACAAGATAATGTATGAAGTGTAGTAGCAAAACGTCCTCAAGCGGGGGGAGAATAAATAAAATCCTCCACCATATGAGAAACTCGAACACACGCCAATCGACTCATAATCAAGCTCTCAACCCGTCTAGCCACGAAATCTACCTTGCTCAAATCATGTACCAGAAACATACTTAACCCATACCGCTAAGAACCGGGTCTGCCCACATTTAGCGGGTTGACCCGGTCTCATCAGTCAAACTCCATGCACATGCACCTTCCATCATCAACGGAGATCAAGAACGCGTCTTGCTTCTAATTCCCACAAAATCCGGTAGATACCATAACCAGTCACCTCCCAAAACGGCAATAGCGCGTTACCATCCGGAGACCACCGACGGTCAACGCCGGACAAATCCCCGGAGCTCCGCTGCCACCCACCGACAAGACACCGGCCGGCGGCTGGAGAACCGCCGGTGACATAGTTTCCGCCGGAAAACCGACCAAACTACTACAACCTACGAACAACACTGAACACAAACCCACCTCTCTCCGGAAGCACCGGAAAATCTTCAGACCATCGCCGGAAAAAACCACAAAGCTATCCCTAACGCCAGACCCCATCCAGATCAGTTCCACCACCCCTTCCCTCACCCAAACGCGGACGGCAACACTCCAAAAAGGCCGGAAAAAACAAGGATCATTGGACCGAGGCTGGAATCATCCAAACCATCTCCAATACAATCCAACTCCAGTCACCAACTCAGAGCATCAAAAACCACATACAAGGATCAAGCATGAAGAGGCGAACTCACCGGGAGTGATACTAGCGCCGGAAAAGACTTCTACGATCATACAAACCAAGCAAGAAACCTGAGAAATACCTTCGTTCAAGGGTGGTGATACAGTCAGCGAACTCACCACTTGAACCCCCGTAAGTCGGAACAAATGACTTGAAAGAGATCACCGCTGGAGCAGTTGCCGGCTTGCACAAGTCGCCAAAGGGGGTTGGGGTAAAAAACGCCATCGCAAAGCCACCGGAAAAGCCACACTACTGTTGTCGCCGGAACTCCTCTGACCATCGCCTTCTTATAATCGCCGGAAAAGAACCGCTGCTTCCCCTCACCTCCATATTCCAGAAGGCCGTCAGAGACCCCAAAGAAACGGAGACAGACAGGTCGCCACCGAGCAACTAGCCGCCATCAAGAGAACATCTCACCTTCGTGACCGCATCTCTTGAACACGCCGGTTACCGGATCTTCTTGTCGTCGACGAACCAAACAAAGCCACCGCCAAAGGATATTGTCATTTACGTAAAATCCAAGGGAAGTGGTCAACGCCGGTAGTCTCCCTATCCTTTACGAAAACGCCAAACCAACAAACCGGAGAAATCTAGATTATGAACAGTGTTGTAACTCTTGGACAAAACAAAGAAACGACAAATCTTAATCAAACTTTGTGAACAAAATTAAAAAATCGGTGAAACCACAAGTTTAATCCACTAGGCAGAAACAAAATTAAACTCAGATTGAAATCAAAGTTAATCCGAATCGTTCCAATGGAAGAAACCAGCGGACAGAACTCACAAAGACATTGGCATTCTAGAGAGAAGTCAGAGAGACTTCTCTCTAGAGAGAGAAACACTCTAGCCAACCTACCTATATATTTTGTATACATACATATGTGATAAGAAGAGTTATCGAAATTTGTACTAATAATAAATATTTACTTTAGGGACAACCGTTTAGAGCGCACTGTTTGGGACGAGCATGTTTATGCCATGCTGCCTTATTACAATGCATAGTTGAAAGCGCCCTTGATTGTTGTAATTCAGTTGTGTAGGGCCAAGTTTGTAAATGGTAAGTATTTTAATTATTTACAGTTTTTTTTTTTTTTTTGAGAAAATGGTCAAATAGACCCCGAAACTTTACCCCAAAGGTCAATTAGGCTCCTAAACTTTAAAAAAGTGTAATTCAACCCTCAAACATGTCAAGTTGAGTCAATGAAGCCCAAAAACCAGTAAATGACCTGTTATTACAGGTCATTTCAATTCCGCACGATGAATTCTGGTCATCGGCAAAAAAATTCGGCTACCGACGACAATCCGGCCGCACGGTCGTCTCCCACTAGAGAAGACGACTGGACGACCGCCTTCTTCATTGGAGAAGACGACTAGACGACCGTTTTCTCTAGTGGAGAAGACGACCAGATGAAAGACGGCAACAGATCTGATTGTCTTCTCTACTGGAGGAGACGACCGAACGGCCGTCTTCTCCATTGGAGAAGACAGCAAGATTTGGCCGTCTTCTCCACTGGGGGAAGACGATCGGACGGCAATGGAGAAGACGGCCAGATTTGGTCGTCTTCTCCAATGGAGAAGGCGGCCATCCGGTCGTCTTGCCGCCTTCTCCATTGGAAGACGGCCGGACGGTCGGA